TCACCTCTTCTGATGGATGATCCTATTAGCTAGTATTTTTTCTACATTTTTCCCCTTGTTTAACTTATTCAAAACCTCTAAAACCCTATTCAATTCCCCTTCAAGCTTCTCATAGGCTTCTTTATCCTCTCAAAACGGTTAGAATTTTCTTGTTCCATCTGTCTAGTTCGACCCTTTTATTGTATTGGTGAGTGAGGTTCTTGCTTGGTAGAGCTATCCTTGAACCATAAGTACCACAATTATGTTATTAAAAATGCTATACTTTATGTTTGGTATGTTGATGCATAAATGAAATATACATTTTCATGGATGAAATCTAATATTAAAATGATGCAAATATATAATGTTACATATGACAATGAAAATGATGCATGACATGATAATGCAAATGCACAAAGTTAAATAAAAAAGATGGTTAGATCACAAACAATTTCTTCTTGTGTCTTATCTTTGGGTTATATCTGTTAATAGGTAGGAAGGGCTCTATCCTAAGACTAGCCTAAGTGTAAACTATATGTAGGGTTAGGTGACTTTGACCATTAAAAGTTTCCAAATTGTTCTTTACATCCTTGTCCATCACAAACTAGTAAGGCAATCCAATCCTTACTCCTCACAGGCTACCGACGGAAAGAATTTAATTTGAGTGAGAGTATTTCACTAGCCATTACGGAGATTATCATCTCACAATAGCGTAGGTACTTTACTCTCTCATAAGATGGACGAAGCCCAAGTATAGAGCTCATGTAATGCAAATGCTTGTGATAGTGTGTGAGAAAGAACATATAATTATCAACCTCATAAATCAAATGAGAAACAAAAAAGGAAAAATGTTAGTAAACAAATAATTACAATTTAAAACTATTAGATCAAAGGATAAGATAAAATCAAAATGTTATGGTCTGACTTTTTATAGTGTCATCAATGGAGTTGTCAAACTGTCATAACATATAGATCCATAAATCTATAGCTAGACTTAATAAATGGAGTCTCCACCAATCTTTTTTAACTAGGTGTAATTGATCACTTAATGAATCTATCCTTTTAAGGAGCTCCTAAGCTTGACTAATGGTCCTTAAAAGAATAAGTTTGGGTCTACAAACTAGAATAGGGTTCAGGAGTTCGGTTACATTTGGGAAAGTTATTACACCCCCACATGTTTATCTAAAAGATAGTACCATTTCATTTTAAATTTATCCTAAGATCTTGATTCTAATGGTTTTAAAATTTAATATTCAAATATTAGAAATAATTCTTAAGATTCTCTATCAATTTGGTAAAACTTAAAAATATTTTCTCACCTCAAAAGTATTTAAGAATTTCGTTTATTTTCCTGAAGAGGCTCTATCGTCGAAAAAAGTGTAATCATTATTATTTTTTATTTTTGTTTTTTTATTAAAAATACATCTAATTATTCCACCATTTGAGCCAAATTTCTTTTGAATTTCTAAATTTTTCACCATTTAGGCCTATCTAGAAATTCTCTTTATTTATTTATTTTTTGTTGAATTTCTAAATTTTTCACCATTTAAACCTATCTAGAAATTCTTTTTTATTTTTCTCTTCTTTTTTTTGGAAAGAAAATAATATGACAATTATTTTTTATTGAAATTTCATTTAAATTCTTCCATCATTTGGTACAAATTTAAAGAAACTTCTCACCTAGAGATTTATTATGAATTTACCATTTGAAATTTCTAAGATTCTCATCCTTGGATAATTGTCAAATATTCTCAACCAAAATTTTTTTTTATTTTTTTCTCTTTTTTTATTGAAAATAAATATTAATTATTGTTATTGAAATTTTATCTAAATTATTCTACCATTTGGGACAAATTTAGACAAAATTTCTCACTTAAAAATTTTATAAAAATTTACCATTTGAAATTTTTAAAAATTTCATTATTGGATAATTATTATTTATTCTTAAAAAATATTTTATTTTTCTTTTATACTTTTTTTATTTTTCTCAAAATTTATTCATGCAATAATACTAAAAAAAAACAACACATAAATAAAATACTAAATAAAATAAATAATAAAAAATCCCAATAAAAAAGAAATGGCTCGGCTAGAGCGCCTCGATGTGACTCGACTTCAGACTCAAAAGATAGCTTGGAGGCTCGACGTGTAGTGAGGCTCGGATGCTACGCGAGTTAAAAAAATAGGTTGACGGATGGGTCAGGTCACCCGCTAGAAAACACACGAATCCTAGGGTTTATTAAATGCCCAAAATGACGTCGTTTTGAATACGATATAAAAGCTTAAATCTTTTGTTTCTACTTCAGATTTCTCCCTCCCTCTCTCTATCAACCCAGAAATCTAGTTGAATATTTCATCGAAAACTGAAGCACAACACCAGAAACTAGAAAATATCATTAGAAAAGATGAATCTCGCCAAAAAATTTCACCAAAATATGGAAATTTCCAAAAACTTTCTAGAAAAAAATTGCAAAAAATATTTCAAAAAAATCTTAAAAATTCTAAGATTGTTGTTAGCTCTTCTGAATTCTATTTTTTTCTGCCCTCTATCCTTTGCCTCTGATCAATGTAGGTATTTATAAGTTGTGATCAGAAGAGTTTTCGATCGATTCTAAGTCCACCCTTGATAAGATTTCTATATTATCATAAAGTCATTAGATTTATCCTATAAAAATTAAAACCAACTATAATTATATTCAGCCCTCATTCACTACACCCATTCATTGCAAGATTCATTTTTTTATTTTTATTATTTTAACACTTAATAAAAAAAAGATAAATTAAATAAGAAAACCAAAAAAAAATAGATAAGTAAGATTAACCCAATAATAATAATAATTAATTAATTAATTAATTAATTATAATAACAAATAGATAAATAAAAATAAAATAAAAAAAATAGTTAGGCTAAACGAATTGGACCCCATGGAACCAGGCCCCAATTGGTATGGGCTTGGATCAAATCAAAATGGGTGTCTACACCCCTAAACTATATATTTTCTATTAATTTGGTACTTAAAGAAATAAAACTATCAGATTACTACTTGAATTTTTCATTTCATTATTATATTAGCACCTTAAACTAAAGTCATTAGTTAATTTTGTTGACACAGCATAAATATCCAACAAGATACTGATACGTGTTAAAAAAATTTACTCAACGTTACATCATTAATGCCACATCATAATTAAAAAAAAAATTTTAAAAAATTCTAAAAAAATTCAAAGACTAAAAAAAATATAAAATAATTCTAGAATAGTTTTTAAAATTTCTAGAAAAATCATAAAACATTCTAAAAGATTTTAAAAGATTCTAAAAAATTAAGTAAACTTCAAAATTAAAAAAAAAAATCTTAAGATTTAAAAAAAACCGAAAAACTTCAAAACAAATTAAAAAAAATCCAAAATAGTGAAGATTTTAATAACAATAAAAATAAAAAAAACTTCTTAAAATTAAAAAAAAATCACAAAATCTTAAAAGTGGTTAAAATAAAAAAAATCTAAAATTTTTCATATTTTTCATATTTTTTGAATCTTACAAGTTTTATTTTTTATATTTTTTTAATTTTTAAGAAAATTTGGGAATTATTTAAATTTTTATTAAAATTTGAATTTTTAACAATTTTTAAAATTGTTTTGAAATGTTTTAGATTTTTAAAATTATTTAATTTTTCATAGAATTTTAAAAGTTTTTAGAATATTTTAAAATTTTTTCATATTTTTCAAAAATTTTCATATTTTTTAAATTTTCAAAATTTTTTAAAATTTTTAGATTTTTTAATTTTAGATTTTTTAAGTTTTTGTGATTTTTTTAAACTATAAGAAAAGTTAATTTTTATTAAAGTTTTCCTTTTTTTAATATTTTATATTTTTTATTAAACATTTTAAAATTTCTTGAATTTCTAAAATTATCATAATTTTTATAATTTATAAAAACTTATTTCATTTATTTTAAAATTTTATATAAATTTTAAATTTTTTTAGAATTTTTTAAAATTTTTAGAATTTTTTACAATTGTTTTGAATTTTTAGAATTTTTAAAAACTTTTTGGAAAGGTTATAATTTTTTAGAATTTTAAAAGCTTTGTTTTTTTTGAAATTTTAAATTTTTTTATAAATTTTTAATTTTTAAAGAATTTTTTAATAATCTTTTAGAAGTGTTTTGAATATTTTTTAAATTTTAAGAAATTTTTAAATTTTTTAGAACTTTCAAAAATTTTATAAAATTATTTAGAATTTTTATAAAAATTTTAGAAATTTTTGACAAATTTTTAAACAATTTTTACTTTTTCCTTTTATACTAACATAACATTGATAATATAAAATTAACTAAATTTTTTTATACGTATTAATATTTTATTAAATATTCATACTACTTCAATAAAATTTACTAAAAATATCAGTCTCGGATAGTAATATGGTAGCAAAATAAAAGTTTATCTGTTAATCTTATAATTTTATTTTTTTAGATATTAAATTAATAAAAAATATATAATTCATAAGAATTTTTATATTTAACCCTTTATTTTACCTTAGTGCTGAAATTTCACCGTCTCATAAAGGTGCATCGACAAATACACATTGTGAAATAAGGTGTTCAAGGGAGTTTAAAGATTACAAAAAAAAAAAAAAAAAAAATGGGAACCTGATGAATACTTTAAAAAAAAAAATTTCTAAATATTTTTTCTATTAACAAAATTAATAATTTTTTATTTATATTATAACCGAATCTTATAACTGTATATCAGGAATCTCATAGCAATTTGGTCTAAAGCCCATGTAAGATCTAAGTGCTTTACGTTTCTCAAGCTTCCATCAGCCCAAAAGTTCTGAGTTTATACCAATTGTTTTGGATTAGATTCTTCTCCAAGCCCATTTTAATTAAACAACACACATACTTTAATGGTTGCGCAGCCTATTATGCTCGGATCAACGTACATAATTTATTCACTTGACTAACAGCGAAAACCAACCCTCTTCTCATTTTGACATCCTTGCTCTTTCTCACCTGTACGCGTATGCAAACTATTAATCAGGAAGGGGAAATTCCCAGAAAGTAAGCAACGCTTTAGTTTAATCTTACACCACTTTTCTTTCTCTTTCCCTGTAATCAAGCACCGAGTTTTCACAAAACAATTCTTTACCAATCTTTTTTTTTTTTTTATGTTCCACTTTTTGCAGAAAGAGAGACAAAAACAAGGTTCTACAACATTTCCCACGACGAAACACTAATTAAAAGTGAGAGGCAGTAAATGAAATATTGGTGATCTCATATGGTAGAGGGAGAGGGAATCCTCATAATTCAGCCAGAAATCAAAATCCCATGTCAATCTAAAGCACCTATAATCAAGAGTCAAGAATCCTGAAATGAAAATTCGCCTAAATTTCACCCTTAACAATAATCAAATAACTGATGCAAAGAGATCCAGAAATCATGTGAAGCTTGCAATATATGGTACATAATATTTCAAAAAAAAAAAAAACAAAAACTGTAAAATTAAACGGAGCACAGCAGTCAATATAGCTTAAGAGAGCAATTAACAGGGGATCTGTTCAGTGAACCATTCCATCACATGAATTGGAGCTTTGACCAACTCCAGCGCCAGCTCTACTATCACCGTCACGCACAAACAACATGGACAGATCAATGTCAACAACAACCTGTCCAAAACCCAAGGCAGCAAACAATCCAACAGAAACTAATATATCAGACACCAAGAAGCCAAAGAGCATTCAGAAGTGCAGAGGAAATTTTGTTTTACAATTAAAACCTATAGGATCGCATGCTCATGAGTTGATTGTCAAAGAAAATTAGAACAAATTAAAACCCAGATCTCAAATATGAAAAAGTAGCAAAAAGCCGAAGGAAGACAACATATGAAAAGCCAAGCAAAGGAGAAAGGACTAACCCGACGATCCAAACGACAACGCCAACAATGGAGATGATGAGAGAAAGAAAAGCAAAGGGAAGGCCCAGGAGGAAGCCCAGTGGCCTGCAATCTCCATCACAGCACATGATTTTGGTTTCTTTCACTATGTTTGCTTGACAGAACGTTGATTTTATCTTTTTAATAAAAATCTTTTTTTTTTTTTGATCAGGTCTACTCTATAACCGAAGGCGACAAAGAAGTGATGGTCGGAGTGCGTGATGTTGGCTTTGCTTTTGGATTGAATTATTGACGGAGTAGTGTTGGGCTTATAAAAACCACATAAATTGAGAGATGTTTCATAGACTTCTAAATTAAGTTACCCCGACGCATTTGATTCGACAGAATTTACATATTTCTTTTTTTTTAAAATTTTATTATTAAATATTTAATTTTAACATTTAATTTAAAATAATCTGATTTTTAAAAAATCTCACATATTTTTAACAACACATAAAATTTTGAAATAAAAAATTCACATTTTTATGTGATATTTTAATATTTCGAGAGAAAAATAGTATTATTTTCAAATTTAACCTAACATAAAATTTTGAAATAACCATTATTATTTTAAAATGTATGTCTGAAAATAAATATAAGTTAGTTGTAAATTTATACTGGTAAAAAAGTTTTTGTTTATATATGACGTTTGATATGAAAAATACCTTTAATAATTTTTTACAAAAAATTAAATAGGTTATTCAAAACGTTTCTGACAAAAACTGTCTTGAATAATCTTCAAAAAATTTTTATAAAGAGATTATTGAAGGTGTTTTAGCCAAAAACTCTTAGATAATCTTTATTAAAATTTTTATAAATGATTATTCAAGACGTCTTTGACCAAAAATACATTCAATAATCCACTACCATTTTTTTGAGATTATTCGATGTGGTTTTACCAAAAACTGCCTTGAATAATCTCTAAAACAAAAAATTTAATGGTGGTTATTCAAAGTATTTTTTATAAAAAACATGCATTCAATAATCCACTTTAATTTTTATGAGGGGATTATTTAAGGAGTTTTTGGATAAAAATGTCTTGAATGATCCCCAAAAATTTTTTAAATTTGAAAATTATTCAAGGCATTTTTTCCCATAAAACACCTTAAATAATCTTCTCATAAAATTTAATAGGATTATTGAAAGTGTTTTTGGTTATTGAAGGTATTTTTTGCCAAAAATACTTTGAATAATCCCTTTTCAATTTTGTATTGAGGATTATTCAAGGCGTTTTTCCTCAAAAAACGCCTTGAATAATCCATTCATAAAATTGAATAGGGTTATTCAAGGTGTTCTTGCTAAAAACGCCTTCAATAATCACCTTCAATTTTTGTTAGAAGATTATTCAAGGTATTTTCAGCCAAAAACGCCTTGAATAATCCCCTCCAATTTTTTGTTGGAGATTAATCAAGATATTTTTATCCAAAAAATGCCTTAAATGATCATTATTTAAAAATTATTCTTTTTAATGTTTCATAAATAAGAGTATATGACATGGTTTTTCTTCAGATATGCCTATAAATAAATGATTAAGGCGTTTGTATGGAAAAACACCTTCATTGGTTATCAATTGAGGCATTTATTCCTATAACCTCCTTCAATATTTCTATATTAAAATTTTGTTTTCCCTCTCAATAATCGTATTCTAACAATATAAATGTTCTAAAGTTTTATCGTGAAGTAAAAGATAATATAACTATCAAATATGTCTTCTTCATGTTTCAATTACAAAAACAATTGAAATTTATATCTCAACAAACCTCAGCTTATGCAATTACTTTTCTCTTTAAAAAACTTTTACCTTTCTCATCAGTCATTTAATTTTTGTCTTGTTCAGTTCATCATCAATTTTTACATAAAATGGTGTGTATACTTTCTGATTGATAATGTGTAATCCATGTTGCCTTCCAATGAACTTATTTTTCCTTTTTTAAATGTTGTTTAGCTTTGGATTAAAGGTTTTTCTTATATATATTATATGTTTTGTGATTAAATTATTTTAGCTTTTTCCAATCTTCCAATGTTTTGTTTGTGATTTATATTTTATTTGATGATATGAGGGGATTCCATCCACCATAAGCCAAGATTTGCTTTCCATTATGTTTTCAACTTTAACAAAATTCTTTCTTCTAAACAGTTATGGTTTGTTTTTCACTAAGGAAGATGTGATTGGTTATATTGCTTGTGATGCAATTGAATCAGATGGAGACTTTACTACATTTGTTATGTTTTGTTGCTGTAACTTTATTAAATATTAATGTAAGAAAATAACTTAGACTATCTTATGGTGGAACATTTTATGATAACCTACATATTAGAGAGTTAAACTTAAACGCAATACTCTTTGAGAGCGATATATTATGTGTAGATCATATTAGAATGGACAAGAGAGTTTTTACAAAATTATGTTATTTGCTTAAAACATAAAGGGGGTTACAATCATTTAGATATGTGTCAATAGAAGAACTAGTAATTATCTTCCTCCACATTATTACCCATCATACAAAAAAAAAGATTATAAAGTGTTAAGTGGCTAGATCTAAAGAAACAATTACTAGACAATTCCATTATGTATTGAATTTTATATTAAGATTGCATATGCTGTTATTCAAAAAAATCTGAACTCGTATAAAAAAATTCACTAGATAATAAATGAAAGTGGTTTAAGGGTTGTTTTGGTGCCTAAGATAGGATATACATTAAAGTCAATGTTGACGTAATTGACCGACCTAGAGACAAGACAAGAAAAAATGAAATTGCTTCCAATGTCCTTGGCATTTGCACCCCAGATATGTAATTCATATATGTTCTACTAGGATGGGAAGGTTTTGCAACAGATGACAGAATGTTATGGAATGCCATTACACACAGGAATACGTTGAGGATCCCACAAGGTATTATTATGATTATGTTCGTGTTATGTTAATAACGACATTGCTTATTTCCATATTAGTAATGTTATTGATCATTCTAATAGGTAATTACTATTTGTATGATACTGGATATACAAATGGGGAAGGATTCTTGGCACCTTATAAAGGTCAATGATACCATCTTAGTGATTGGAGGGTAGAACTCCAACCGACAACCCTATAAGAATACTTTAACATAAAACACTCTTAAGCAATAAATTGTATCGAGAGATGCTTTAGTATATTGAAAGCTAGATGGGCAATTTAAAAAAGAAGTCATTTTATTCAATTAAGGCACAGTGTAAAATCATTTTTGCTTGTTACCTTCTCAATAATTTTATTAGGTCTAAGATAGTTTTTGATCCTATTAAAGGGGATGTTGCCAAAAAAAGTATTTCCCAACCAAATGAATCTGATCATCAACATTTGATTACGTATGTTGAGCCATCTAATTATTGGACTCAATTTAAAGATAATTTGGCTAATGAAATGTTTACCCATTGGTTACAATCCAGGGGATAATACCATTATAAATATGTTTGTAGTTTATTATTTGTTTGCCCAAATGGTTTTTATTTTATGTACCATATGGTTGATATTGTCCAATGAATATTACAATTTGGAGAACATATTGCTTTATTTCAATGTGTATTTGTTTATTTTATTCCCTTGATTATTTTTAATTTACTATATTGATATTGTTTCATAATGTCTAACCATGTGATTAGGAATTGAAATGCCTTTATTGCGTGACAATCTATCGTAATCTGTTCGACGTGCATCCAAAAGATGATTGGATAGTTTTGGCTTTGGTAACCACTCATTGACTAGAGATGAGGATTTGCATTTAGTTTAGTGCCTACATTATTTGGCTAATGATCTTAGATGGAGAGTGGATAATAGGATGTTTCGCGTAGGATATCCAGGTTATATTAAATGAATACTGGAGTAAGTCATTCCTACTTCACAACTTAAAGCCACTCCCCACATCGAATCCAAAGTTAAGCTACTTAAGAGACAATATCATACAATTTGTGATATCAAAATTCTAGTGGATTTGGCTGGAATGATCAAGAAAAATGTATCACAACTAAAAAAAGGTATTTGATAAGTGGGTTCGAATAAGTTTTTTTACATGACATTCGGCTTATCTATCTTTTTTACTTTTTTTTTCAATGGCTTTTATTAGATTCATCTTTGTTTGAACTTTGCCAGTCACACCCACATGCTAGAGGGTAACAAAACAAACCTTTTCCATTTTTGATGATTTTAAAATGATATTTGAATCTAATAGAGCAATTGGTCAAGGAGTTGAAATAGCAATCGATGCAATTGAATCATGAAATGCTAACGAATATGCTTACTTATTTCCTGATTTTGATATCAATGTTGAAGGAAATGAAAAAATAGGAGATGATGAAGACGGCATTGTATCTGTTGCTCCGAGCAATGCTAGGATGACATTGTTAGGTAAAAAGCAAGCATTAGCGATGATAGAGTAAATTTTGGGTTGGTGCATCAGATTGGCAATATTGGTGCTTTATATGATCGAGCTATGAATGTTATAGAAGACATTTCAGTTTATTTTAAAATATAAGTGGAGATACAGATAGAAGAAAGTCACTTTTTAAAACTTTTTGAAAGAAATCCAATATGATAGAAGTGCAAGAAGCCTAAGAAAATGATTTGAAAATGGCAAATAATGTGACCCAAGGATGAATACAATGATGGATTGGTTAACATAACCAGTGAGTTGTGACTAGATTAAGAAAATAACATAGATTAAATGATGAAATTTGTTCTGAGATCATTAATGTTGAGAAGCTAAGAAAGAATACATGAGATAGGGAAGTCTTGAGAATCTTGTTACCACAATTGAAATTTCATGGCATTGATTTAGTGACATCAACATTACATACATTGTATTTGAAGAATATCTGAATCCTTGATAATTGCATTTGCATTATGGTTAGCGCATGCATTTGCATCACGTAGAGAACATTTGAATCATTGTATGACATTTGCATTTATATCATTTAGTGAGAATCTAAATTGTTTCATTTATATCATTTAGAAGGCATTTCCATTATTAACATGACATTTATCACATATAAGAATTTAACTTTAATTAGAGAAAATTTTTTACTTTTGAATCCTCGAATGAGGAAGATCTTATATGATGAGATTTTTTTTTTTGAAAAAAAAATTTCCAAACTTTTTAAAATATAGACCTTTTATTTAAAGGAGCTTTTCAAACAAGAATCTTTGAAATTTTGGATGCAAAACCCTAAAATTATTTTGAATGAGAATATTTAGATGCAAAATGTTGTAACAGTTTTGTGTCCGTCCGACGAATTTGAAAACG